CAGTGTGACCAAAGGCCCTGAGGAAGCCTCTCAGGTCAGGGAGTCCTGGGAAGTTACCGCAGTCCCTGTGCTCTGAGCTGTGGGCAGATCACTTGTCAGAGTTTTGGTTTGTTTGTTTTTGTACTTCAGAGTATTTTTCTTTAAAAAGAAACTTTTAGCACACAAGTGATACTTACTCCTTAAAACAAAACTTTAAGATAATCTAAAGTAAGTACTTGCAGCCTTTTGCATTATTGGCGAATAGTTCTGGTTACCTCCATCCAGCCTCAAAGTTTATTCCTGGAATGAAACTTTAGTTTTCCACTCAAATTCCAAAAAGGTGTGTCTCATTGGGGCTTCTGTGAATTTTTTTAAGTTTATAGAGTGGTGTTAACTTACAGATTCACGCAGCTCTCAACTTGTATTATCATTCTAACTTACAGATTCACGCAGCTCTCAACTTGTATTATCATTCTTCGGGGAATCAGCCGGCTGACTCCTAAGGGACATGATTCTTAGAGAGCATATAGGCCAGTAATTTTCCCTTGGTGGTGAGGGTAAAGTGTGGGATCACATTGAAAACTGAATGACATCTCAATCCCCAATATAGTGGATAGGAAAATGGAGCTTCTCAGGTTGAGTGGGGTGTGGGTGGTGGATGGGAGCTGCCCACTCAGGTCCTTCCTTACCTCCATGGGGCTCCTGACGTACCTCACCAGAATCCCAGGGCTCTGCTAAACTCAAGTACAAATCACACCCAGTCCTTGTCTGTCTTCCCCTCTGGGCCAGTTTTGCAGATAAGGAAATCTATGTCCAGGGAGGTCACGAGCCTTAGGGTGACACAATGGAGTTAGTCTGAGAGCTGAGACCAGAACCCTGGCATCCTTGCTTTTAGTCCATGGCTCTTTCCCCTGTTTCATACCGTGGAGCAAGTTTGTTTTGTCTAATTGAATCCTGGTATGCAGAAATTGAAATAGATTGCCTCTTGGATGTCTAACTAAATGCTTTTTATTAAACATCTTGCCCCAACAACGATGCCATGGAATGAGATGCTGGGTAATTAATGTACCGTCTGCCTGGGTTTCTTTCAGCCCAGTACTGTATTACATCATGTAATACAGAGATAGCGAAAGAGATAGCAAGAGAGAGCAGGAGCAGAGAGGAGAGAGAGAGAAGCAGGCTCCCCGTTGAGCAGGGAGCCTGATGCGGTGCTGGATCCCAGGACCCTGGGATCATGACCGGAGCTGAAGGCAGACACTCAACCAACTGAGCCACCCAAGCACCCCTCATCTTTATTTCTGTAGTTTTCAATCTTTAAATCTTAGGGTAAGTTGGGGTCAGAGGAAAGCAGTTTTGACACTTTCTTCATTTCCCAAACCCTGTTAATCACCATGTTCTGTTTCTTAATCCCAGGATCTGTGCCCTCTTTTCTATTCCAGGTGATAAACCTCACACTGCCTATTTTAAGCATCTTAACCATCTCCTTGCCTTGAGGTCTGCTACTGTCTCTATCTCGTCCATGATAGGTTACCTACCTGCGTTCCCCTTTCCCACCTTCACTCTAATCCGCCAAGCACCCCTACAGGATCTCCATAGCTTGTAAGAGTGGGTTAAAGGCCTTTGTTTGGATTTCAAGGCTCACTCATTCTGGCCTCACTACTTCGGGTAGCCTTCTCCCCAGTGGTATGGGCGCGCTCTGGTACTTCCTCTCCCTTGCAGCACACTTTGTTTTTTCGTCTGACCATGCCCACAGATGGTTAACTTTATTTATTTTCTGTACTTTTAGAGTGCTTAAAATTTATTCCAGGCCGTTTAGCCTGTCTTGTGTGAATTTGTTTGCTCTTCTGGTGAGCAAATGTTTAATGCATACCACATACAAGGCATGCTGGCTAACACTAGCTGTGAGGCCTTAAACCAGTTACTTAACCCCCCTGAGGATTTTTCTCATCTATGAAATGGAGACAAAATAAGGCTTATCTCATGGGTGTTCTACAAAGATTAAATGAGATACTATATAAGAAAGCACCCAATATCATGGCTAACAACATAGCAAGTGCTCAGTCTATATGAGTTTCCTCCCCAGGGTAGCCACACGCTTAGCACAGTATAGAGTAGCACATGTGTCCTTTGTTCAACATGGAACACATAGACGTAATTCCTCCCCCACCCCAGCCCACTTCTCTTTGCCCCCTTTCCTCCTCTCCTGATTCTCTCCATCCCTTACTTTGGGTTCACACTCAACGGCCACTCCCTCTTCCACTTGATTCCTTTCATATTTGCACTGTTATCTAAGGAAATGCAACAAGTACAGATGGCAAATATACTTGGGGAGATAGCTTGCTCAGACATAAACTCTGATAGGATTAGACCTGTGTACTTTTTGTTAACCTGCTTAGTGGAGCATAGGTGCCTGGATATGTGAAAAACATTCAAGAATCGAGACCTTCTATCACGAGTTAACACCAGGCCCTGCCCCTTGCCTAGAAAGACCATGCTATCCCTGCTGCCCGCCACTCCCTTCCAGGCAGGAGCCTTCATGTGTAGAGGAGGGGAAATGCCATTCAGTCCCCCGAAAACAGTTCTTAGTAAAAAAAAAAAAAAAGATTTGTAGCTATATCCCTGTGTTATATGGATAAAATATTCTAGAAACTGTAAAACATCTTGCCCAATCTGACGTAACACAGGGAAGACAGACTGAATAAAGAAATATACAAAGATATGCATGCGTTTGGAACACAAAGCACTTAATGGTAAAGATAATCTTCTTCCGTTGGTATGTTTTCCTTCGACTTTAATATGGGATGTAGTCCCCACGCTGCACAACGGCATCGTCTTGGAAAGTACTTCATGGTAGGAAACAGAATCCCCTTCTCCCTCCCTTCTTCCCACGAGCTCCGATATCTCACCTGAAGTTACGTTTCCACCCTTAAATGACAGGTTTCCCTCCCTCTTTCAGAGGAGACAAACTGAATGGGTTTGCCAGGGTACAAAGTGACGCAGCTTTAAAAGCTTTTAATGCCAGTTTACATTTGTATCGTTTAATTTTTTTTTAACATATAATGTATGATTTGTTTCAGAGGTACAGGTCTGTGATTCATCCGTCTTACACAATCCACAGCGCTCACCCTAGCACATACCCTCCCCAATGTCCATCACCCAGCCACCCCATCCCTCCCACCCCCCACCACTCCAGCAACCCTCAGTTTGTTTCCTGAGATTGAGAGTCTCTTGTGGTTCCTTTCTCTCTCTGGTTTCGTCTTGTTTCATTTTTTCCTCCCTTCTCCTCTGATCCTCTGCCTTCTTTCTCAAAATTCCTCATATCAGTGAGGTCATATGATAATTGTCTTTCTCCGACTGACTTACTTCGCTCAGCATAATACCCTCTAGTTCCATCCATGGTGTTGCAAATGGCAAGATTTCAGGTTTTTTTGATGGCTGCATAATAATATTTGTATCATTTTAATTCTTTCAAAATACTTTTACTTGCTGTTCTCAATTGGCCTCAGTCTCTAAGGTGGGCAAGATAAGTACGTATGATACAAATAATAGCTAATGTTTATTGGGTGGCTATTATGTTCCAGGCTCTTTGCTAAATGCTGGACCTTTATTATCTCATTTAATCCTTACTACAACACTGTCAGGGAAGTATTTTTTTTTTTAAGATTTATTTATTTTTTTCTTTTATCCCCCCCCATTTATTTATTTATTTTTAAATTCTTCGTTTTAAATTCAATATAGTTAACATATACTGTATTATTAGTTTCAGGGATAGAATTCAGTGATTCATCAGTTGCATATAACACCCAGTGTTCATTACACCAAGTGCCCTCCTTAATGCCCATCACCCAGTTACCCCTTCCCATCATCCACCTCCCCTCCAGCAACCCTGTTTGTTTCCTAGAATTAAGGGTCTCTTATGGTTTGCCTCCCTCTCTACTTTCATCTTATTTTATTTTTCCTTCCCTTTCCCTATGTTCATCTGTTTTGTTTCTTAAGTTCCACATATGAATGAAATCATATGATATTTGTCTTTCTCTGACTGACTTATTTTGCTTTGCATAATGTACTCTAGCTCCATTTACATCGTTGCAAATGGCAAGATTTCATTCTTTTGGATGGTGGAGTAATATTCCACTATACACATACACACACTTGGATGGTGGAGTAATATTCCACTACACACACACACACACACACACACACACACACACACACACACGCCCCCTACATCTTCCTTATCCATTCATCTGTCAGTGGACATCTGGACTCTTTCCATAGTTTGGCTCTTGTGGATATACACACTGAAAGATTTATTTACTTTAGAGAGAGAGCGAGCACGTGCACACATGCGTGTGGTGGGGGAAGGGGCAGAGGGAGAGGGAGACAAGCAGATTTCCCGCTGAACAGGGAGCCCGATGAGGGCTGGATCCCAGAACCCTGAGATCATGACCTGAGCCAAAATCAAGAGTCGGACACTTCACTGAGCCACCCAGACACACCTATCAGGGAAATATTATTACCACTCCAGTTTTGTATATAAAGAGGCAACTGTAGTTTGGAAATAACTTGTCAGGTCTTTTAACTGGTGGGGGAGTGGAGACAGAATCTGAATTTAGGAAGTCAGTCTCCAGAATTAAAGTTTTGAAAAGAAAATGATAGAGATATTTAGGAAATAAGATGGCAGTTAGCTGAAGGGAAGGAGATGCCACAGGATGAAGGAAATGTAAGAATAGAAAGAGGGGCACCTGGGTCGCTCAGTCGGTTAAGTATCAGACTCTTGATGTCAGTTCAGGTCATGATCTCAGGGTTGTGAGATTGAGCCCCGAGCTTTAAGATTGTCTTTCTCCTTCTCCCTCTGCCGCTCCCCCGCCTCAAAAAATAATAGAAAGGAAAGATAAGAATTTGAAGACAGTTTAAAGAGCACAGATCCAAAAGGACCTTTTGGAATCTGTTCCTCTTTTCAGCTCACATTCTGCTGTTCTTAGTCTCTCCTTGAAAACTTTACCTGCCTAATCGTGCACATGCGCAATGTGGTTGGTTTTACCGAGAAGTCCAGGGCTAAAGGGCAAGAAGGATGGGAGGCTTTTGCCTTTGAGATGGGCTGGCCTCCTCCCAATCTGGAAACTCCTCCTGCTTTGTGAGTCTAGCACCAGACTTCCACTTTGAAAGTCAAGTTTGCCTGCGTGGGAGAGATCATGTTTACCCAAACGTGCAAAACCAAAACTCCAGCAAAACCATATTCTGAAGCTGGGAGGGCTTGGCTTATTATAGTCTCTAAACCTTTGCCCATGTATATGAGTAGGACTGTTCCCACCCCCAGGGGTTTTGTGAGGTTTAGAGACAGGGTGTGTATATCACCTGGCACACAGTAGATACTGAGATTCAGAGCAACAGCTGAGCTAAGGGGAGAGAGGTTTGCTGGTTGCTCAGTACTTTTTGTCCTGGGACTCTTCCCCGCTCTTCTTGTGGAAGGCCAGGGGTGAAGGTCTGAGAGCTGGGCAGGTTGCTGTGGGGCCAGCAGACCCCTGGAGAACGTGTGAGTAAGCTCAGTAGGGTCAAAATCATGGGAACCTGACATATTTCGAGGCTTGAAATTCACCGAAGGGATGAAATCAAAGAAAAGGATGAAAGAATAGTACCCAGGTGGCAAAGCCAGTGCTGGCGTTGGTAAAGGTGAGTCGTGTCACTGCAGGGGTGTATTGGCCATAATAAAGGCATTCGTGGAGGGGCTGCTAAGGGAGGACTTGGTGATGAAGGTGATCATCCTTGTCCCCATTCCCCTCGCTCAGAGTGTCAGATTCAGCAATCTTCAAAGCTCCCCCCGGAGCAACTCCTAGCTCCAACCAAATTCCTTTCTCTGACTCCCAGCAAACTTGCCCTCCCACCTCTACACAAATAATGTTAACTAGCGCCCTTTGAATAAATTGCTATTTATGTCGAACTGCCGTTCAGCAAAATGAAGAACATGTAGGTTGTTAATCACAGTACCAGAGTGACTGATGCCAGTTGTCGCCTGGCTCTCCACTCTGATTGTTTGCAGGCTAATGAGTACCAAACATTTTCTTTTATTTAGAGAATAACCGGGCAGAGTGGAGAGAGCACTGCTCAGGGGTGGAATCTTGACTCTGACCTCCTTAGAAAATGAATAACCACAGACAAGCCACTCATCTTTTCCAGTCTCAGATTTGTGGTGTGCAAAATGGCCGATTGTCTACTCCCAGGGGTCATATTTAGTGTGTAAAAGACAATATTTGAAAGTATGGTGTGAGTATAGGATTTTGTTTAGACCATAAATAGGTGTTTTAATCTCTAGTCTAATCCATATATTTGCTGAACAGAATAAGCTAGTGTTGACATTGCCATCCTTGTCATTGTCAAAAGCTTACCTGTAGTGACTTCTCTTCAGTTAAAGCTATGTTGGGCGGAAGCTCCAAGGTCTGTTTCAGGTCAGTTCTGGAAAAAAGCAAGGGGGATGGTGAGAGTGGAGAGGCAAAAATAATAAAGCAGATTACAAAACAATCCACGTTAGGCTTGAGATGCTAGTCACCGGCTCTTCCATTCTGATTGGACTAATTTCCAGGAATCTTATAGCGGGCAGAGAGAGAGTTTCCCCTCCCCCCCCAAACTACTCAAGGCTCATTTTCAAAATGATCTTTATAACTGGATGAGGAAGTCAACAGTCTTCCTAAAAAAAAAAAAATCTTTACCCTATTACTCTACAGAAAAGTCTTCAGTGATTACCCATTAACTAGAAATAGATGCTTCAGTGAGATTTAAGCCCCACCCGGTCTCCCCACCCCCAGTCACTACCACCGGTCCTTCCTTATTGATCCCTTTGTTTCCCATAAAGCCAGGGGTTGGTTCCTTCCAGGCTCCCCAAGTAACTGCCCCTTCCTGATAAGGGCTGAATCTGTCTCTTTTCTTCTTTCTTGAAACTATGAGTTTCTCTGCCTTCTTCCTATTTTTCATGTGTAATCTTAATCCTACTTCAGTGTTAGGGCCCAGCTTATATTTCTTTTTTCATGAAGTCTTCCCCACCCACTGTATTTCTGCAGACCCTCTCTTTAGCATGCCTGCCACAGGCACATCCTCATTTCAGCCCGGAGACAGTTTGGGTCATTTCTGGGGGCAAGGACCTGTCCTGAGCAGCACCCTGATCTTTCTCTGTGGACGTGAGAAAAGTGGGTGCATGTGCTCATCATAATCACAGCTTACTGTCTTATGAGGGTTGTGTCCTGAAGATGAGGCAGGATCCAGAACCATGTGGCTGTGGCCTTCGAGCCAGGCCCACCCAGCTATTTTGTAAAGGGTGAGGGTGGCAGCTGAATTTTTGTGTTGATGAGTGTATCTCAGTCAAAATGAGGCTGTTCCACCTGAGAACTCCCTTGGAGAGAACCCCCGCTTGAACCCCTTTCTTTTTGGCCTTCATCATAGAGGAAAGGAGGAAGGAAAGAGACTCAGACTCAGACCCTGACACTAACACAACAGCGTATGTACCAGGCACCATGCCAATTGCCAGAAGTGAATGATCTCGTTACATCCTTTCACGGACCTGATGAGGTTAGTAGTATCATAATCTGCAGTCCTAGCTGGGAGAAAAGAAAAAAAAAAAAACAACTCAGTAAATAGCTTGTACAATGTCCAAATAAATAGTGAAGTTTTATTTGAACCCAGTAGTATCAGAGTCCAAAGCCTGTTTGTCCACACCGGTGGTTCTCAAAGCATGGTACCCAGAGCAGTTAGTATCACCATCTCCTGGAAACTTGTAGAAATGTAAGTTCTTGGGCCCCACCCAAGTCCTCCTGAATCAGAAACTCCTTCTGAAAGTGATCTGGGCCATTACAAGTCCTCTTGGTGGCGCATGCTCAAGTTTGAGTACTATTATTCTGCGCTAAACCTCCCATGAGAAGATCCCCTGTAACTTGGCCTAAAGACCATCTTGACATAGGAACATTCTAAGATGTTGGTTATGTGTGGACCTCTGACTATGCCAAAGTGCCACCTGACTTTCTGTGCCACTAGGTTCCTCATCAAGGCAGACCTGGAGCTGTGTGTTTGTAGCTTTGGAGGCTAGGGAGAAGGAGCCTTAAAAAAGAGAAAAGAAAAATTCTTAATTTCTTCAAGTCTTTCTTTTTTTTTTTTTTTAAAGATTTTATTCATTTATTTGAGAGAGAGAGAGAGAGAGAGAGAGCATGAGACGGGGGAGGGTCAGAGGGAAAAGCAGACTCTGTGCTGAGCAGGGAGCCTGACGTGGGGCTCGATCTTGGGACTCCAGGATCACGACCTGAGCTGAAGGCAGTCGCTCAACCAACTGAGCCACCCAGGCACCCTCAAGTCTTTCTTAATAAAATTTGTCACAGTCTGATCATTTTTATTTATTTTATGCTCATGTTGACCACCTGTACTGCCAGTTTCTACTGTTAATGGATTCTTGGTCATTCATTCCATTATTTATTCAACAAACATTTGTTGGGTGCCAAGGAGGTGACAAGTACAGTGTGAGGTTGTGCTTTAACGGTGAGTCAGAGACAGACTCAGCCAGCTTTCTCAGAGCCTGCAGTTAACTGGCCATCACCAAGGCATGTGAAATGTCCTGCCTCGGGGAAGAGGCACTTTGGGAAAACACGGGAGACCCCTCTCCCAGATTTGCAGTCAGAGAAGGCTTCTGGAGGAGGTGAGGGTGCTGCTGAAGTCCTAAGGAATACATAGTAATTAGCCTCATGAAGGGAAGGGAGTGGTGGCTGGTGCTCCGGGAGAGTGCGCCAGCCAAGAGGCCCACACGTGGGAAGACCTGGAGAAGATGGTGATCCTGCCAAGGGAAGGAATGGAGCAAGTTCAGGGTGGCTGACACCCTGAGTGTGAGGTGGGCCTGTAAGGGAGATGAGGCAGCAGAGAAAGGCTGACGGCAGACCTGATTGGCCTCGTAGGCCTGTTGAACTTCCCTGAAGAAGTGGGGAAACATTTTAAAAGAAAGTAACATGAAAAAATATATACGTGTATTGGCAAGCTCACTATATGACCTTCTTTTTCCTTTCCCCCTTTTAATTTTACTTATTTTTTTAAATTTAATTTAATTTTATTGTTATGTTAGTCACCATACAATACATCATTAGTTTTTGATGTGGTGATCCACGATCCATTGTTTTCGTATAACACCCAGTGCTCCATGCAGTACGTGCCCTCCTTAATACCCATCACCGGGCTAACCCATCTCCCCGCCCCCTCCCCTCTAGAACCCTCAGTTTCTTTCTCAGAGTCCATAGTCTCTCACAGTTCATCTCCTCCTCCGATTCCCCCCCCTCCATTTTTCCCTTCCTTCTCCTAATGTCCTCCATGCTATTCCTTAGGTTCCACAAATAAGTGAAACCATAGGAAAATTGACATTCTCTGCTTGACTTATTTCACTTAGCATCATCTCCTCCAGTCCCATCCATGTTGATGTAAAAGTTGGGTATTCATCATTTCTGATGGCTGAGTCATATTCCATTGTATGTATGGACCACATCTTCGTTATCCATTCGTCTGTTGAAGGGCATCTTGGCTTTTTCCACAGTTTGGCTATTGTGGACATTGCTGCTATGAACATTGGGGTGCATATGGCCCTTCTTTTCACTACATCTGTGTCTTTGGGGTAAATATCTAGGAGCGCAATTGCTGGATCATAGGGTAGCCCTATTTTTAATTTTTTGAGGCACCTCCACACTGTGTTCCAAAGTGGCTGTACCAACTTGTATTCCCACCAACAGTGTAAGAGGGTTCCCCTTTCTCCACAACCTTTCCAACATTTGTTGTTTCTTGCCTTGTCAATTTTTGCCATTCTAACTGGTATAAGGTAGTATCTCAATGTAGTTTTGATTTGAATTTCCCTGATGGCTAATGATGATGAACATTTTGTCATGTGTCTGTTAGCCATTTGTATGTCTTTTTTGGAGAAGTGTCTGTTCATGTCTTCTGCCCATTTTTTGACTTGATTGTTTTTTGGGTGCTGAGTTTGAGAAGTTCTTTATAGATCTTGGAAATCAGTCCTTTGTCCGTAGGCCTTCTTTTAATATAGTTTCTTTATTGTTGTTGGATATGTTAACGCTGTCAATGGATCACGAGATCCTCGCGAGTCATCCTTGCTTTTTCTCTCCCCCATTTCTCCCGGGGTGTCTGTGTGGTCTTTGCCTGCCTGGCAGGCAGCTCCCAACTAGTCAGCCAGTGTGTTTGCTTATTTGCATTGCTTTTATTACCCCATGAACAGAAGTAGGTCACCTCCCAGAAACATAGTGTGCCTTCAGCATTGTCTCTTGCTCTTGGCTGCAGGTTGCCTGTCCTTGCTGGTGACGGTCCAGCACACAGAGCGCTATGTCACCCTGTTTGCCTCCATCGTCCTCAAATGTGACTACACCACCTCTGCCCAGCTCCAGGATGTCGTGGTTACGTGGCGCTTCAAGTCCTTCTGCAAGGACCCCATCTTTGACTACTACTCTGCATGTGAGTCCCTCCTCCTTCAGCCCATGTCCCTCTGTGAAGCATGGCCATCAGGGCATAGGACCACAAATCCTTCTGAGAGGGAGTCACAAAGGTCACTTAATGCAGTCCCCTCATTTTATAGATAAATAAACAACCCAGACAGATGAAGTAACTTATTTGAGGTCACATACTATTTTATTTTAAGATTTATGTCCTACTTTGTTCTAAAAAGATGTAGGTAGCTCAGACATTAAGTTTTTTAAAAGGCAGTGCCAGTCCTGCCTCCTGGTCCATTCCTGGTTGCATGCCAGCACTGAGATGAGTATGCAGTCCACCTCCATTCCCCTTACCGCCTGAGAAGGTGGACAAGAAGCCTCCTACATCCCCCAGGACCCTGAGGAGTGGCTGTTTGTGAACATCCCCCCCCCCCCACCACCCACTGCCACACTCCCCTTTGTGGCCAGCCTTCCTAGTGGCCAAGGAAACTCTCCCGGTGAGCGAGAGCCCACTGCCCCCAGGGAAAACATTCTCAGTGCTGCACAACACCCCCCGCCGCCAACACACACACACACTTAGCCAAGTTCTACCTCTCAGTAGCAGCCGCCCCACTCATGTCAGCTCTCCTCCCTGGAACCTAAGCTCTTTTTAGCTGTCTGCCTCTACCTCTCTCAAGGAACAAAGGAACCCAGATCCTCACCGTCAGCCCTGGACGATTACCCTTGTAGAGATTTTGAGAGTACAAGTAGACACCGTCTTTGTAGGAAGGAAGTTAGCTTCCAGAGGTGAGGAAAAAGGGGGAGGCATCAGCTTTACCTCTTTTAGCCTTGACTAATGTCTTACAGTATGAACCCCGATACCTGAATGTCTGAGTCACCCACAGAACCTGGCGTAGTCCCCAAAAGACACATCTCTGAATCAAGGCATGATTTCCAGGGGGTTACTCTTCAAATAAAGTCGGAAGGGAGGAGAGGCCAGGGTAGTAAGCATTTGCCACCAGCAAATGTATTATAAGGGCAGGTGGATGAGCCCTATAGGAGCAGAATCTGGGGTGACCAAAAATGAAGCAAGGGTAGTTGGAATGGGAGACAGGAGCATGGAGCCAGGATTTGGAAATGGTGACCTTTGAGAGGGGTTTGGATCTTACTGCTCAGAGGTTCATTAGTATCACCTGGGAGTTCTTCTGAAATGCAGACTCTCAGATTCTCACTCCAGACCCACAGCATCAGAATCTTCATGTTTAGCAAGATTCCCAGTAGACACATGAGCTCAGAATAAAAATGAGAAGCTTCCCTGCTTCCTTGCTCCAGGGAACAGTAAGGGCGCCTTTCTCCGTAGGAATTCCCATCGCTGTGTGACCTGGCTGTGTCCTTTTTCCTCAGCTTATCAGGCGGCTTTATCCCTGGGCCAGGACCCATCCAATGACTGCAGCGACAGCCAGCGGGAGGTTCGCATTGTGGCTCAGAGGCGGGGGCAGAATGAGCCCGTGCTGGGGGTGGATTACCAGCAGCGCAAGATCACCATCCAGAACCGTGAGTGCGGGGGAAGGCGGCAGGGATCTGGGGGCGGCAAGAGGTGCAGACACCAGGCCTGGGCCTGGCTGAGTCATTGTGGGGATTTTCCTTTTTCTTTTCTTTCTTTTTCTTTTTTTTTTTTTGGTTTTGTGTTTGTTTGAGGAAAGTGCCAGATACATAGAATGCTGTTACCACCATCTGAAGTCACTCCCCTGGAAGTTGGTCTCTAGATGAGAAGATGTCCTACAGCTTTGGCTAAAGGTCTGGGAGTGGGTGGTTTCTTTTGCTTTTTCATGGCTGAGGTGTGGCTCAGGCTTGTTCGCTCCCTCCCATAAGTTGCTCTCAGGGCCTGCATGAACCCCAGGCCACTGAGTTTCCCTCTGGCCACTCCTGTTGTACATGTCTAAAGGGCTTCCAAGTAGATGGCTACCAAGTAGACCATCATTGCCCATTGGTAGAGGAAAGAGCATTAGCCTTAGAATCTAAAGACCTGGCTGGGTGTCCTGCTGCTTCCACCTGCTAGCTCTTGGACCAGTAGCAGATGTTTTCCCTGGCCTCTGTTACCTCATCTGAAAGGTGGACATAATGGTCTCTGTGTCTGTACACTGAAGTAAATATCAAATGTGTTATCTAAGAGCTATGTGTAAAGCATACTTATTCTTTGTGCCTAGTACAGGGACTGGTGGTTGGAGCCCTCAGACTCGGGTGTGTGTCCCCATTCTGCACTTATAGGGTATGTGAACTTGGGCAAGTCCCTTCAATTTTTTAGCCTCAATTTCTACAAAATGAGACTTGCCGTAGTACTACCCATCTCCTGGAGAGTCTTCAGGATTAAGTGAGATGATATGCATAAAGCACTTAGCAAATATTAAATGTGCAGTGAACTTTAGTTACGATCACTGAGGGCACTTTTGGATGGATGGGCTAGCGCCCCACATTCCTATCTTGTAATCCAGGAGGGCCGTGATGGGTTATTGGCACAGAATTCAGAGCCTGTTTCAGTGAGCTTCACATGCAGTGTTAAATAAATATTTGCTGATTAAAAGGGGAAAAAGAAGGGAGAATACGTGAAGCAGGCCACTCAGGGTACCTGTAGCAACCATGTGAGGAAATCAGTGAATGCTCTATAACCATTTAAAAGTAGATCATTTAAAGGGAGCCAATTTAATATTTGCTTCCAAATTTTTGTATAATACTTTGGCTGTAATAGTTAAGTCTGGTTCTTTTACATGCGATCTCTGATTCCCCCAAGCCAGCCCTTAAACTCTCGGCCTTAAGGAACATCTATCCTTTTCTGGTCTCTAGCTACATTCTCAAAGATTCAGGGTGGTTCTCCTTTTCCCAGAGCCTGCAGAATTAGCCCTCATCTGACTCCAAAGTTTAAAGTCTCTTCAACTGGCAAGCCTCCTTTATAGTTTTTGAAGGATGAAAGTCCCCACAGGTGACAGTCCCCACTTTTCTCTTTTTCTAATTCTGAGTAATACCATCCACTATCTCTACTCCCAGTCACCCTTGGATCAAACTCTGTTTCTCCCTTACACCCATGGGAAAGCAGTATTTCCCCTTGGTTTTTATTTTTACCTCCATACTTGTCATGACTTCCTGAAGCCCTTGTTTTCTGACACTTTAGGCCTGTGTGTGCATCATTTTGAGATGACCATGTCAAGTCAGTTCTTGTATTATTTAAAATATCAACATATCTGAATGTCCTCATTACTGTGATATCCCTAAAAAAAATCTTTGTCTCTAATAAAAATTGGGGCAGATTTTTAATGCACATTAACATTAAGAGAGAATTCGTTTTCACCATTCTTCCACCTCTGGGGTAAGCTTCTTTCTGGGAAAGGTAGTGTGTTTGGAAAATCATGGGTAGGAAAAAAATCGTAGAGATTGACGTAGAAAGAGAAGGAAACAGAAGTTGAAGTTAGCTCCAGTGGTGCATGACCTTGCATTTTTGTTTCATTTCCTCAATAAATATTTTTTAACAAACAGATAATGAAGAATTATAGATGGGATTGCTAAGTAAGCAGGAGCAAGTCTATAATGCTAAGGGTTTTTAAAAAGGAATTTGAAGATGTCCCCTGGCACTCTACTGTGGATGAAATAGCAGGGATGTGGAGGCTGTCCTGATGCCCCTGACTGGACTTTAAGCCCTTTTAGGACAGAGATGAGTCTTGTTCCTCTGCAGATCTTCCTCAGGGTCTGACATAGAGCTGGACCCACACAAGGTCTTCAGTGAAAATTTGTTGCATTTACTAAACTTGAACATACCATTCATTTATCTTAATGAGGTAGCCCAGCGCTTGGTGCTCATGAAAACTGAAATTCCTTTCTTGAACATCGAGTAACATTTACCCTTAAAATATGGGCATTTCATCCTTGCTTATTCAACTTCATCTTCTAAATTGTCCCTCTAAGATCCAGAGGGATCCGTTCACAGCTGGTGAGGAACCCAGGCTGTGGAGTTTTCCACCCGCTTAGGAAAGGACATTAGAACTTAGTGGTTAAGAGCACCAGCGTTGCAGCAGAGAGACATGGATTTGAACCTACCTCTGCTACTCATTATTTCTCTGTTCTTAGGCCAGTTTCTTAGCCTCCCAGAGTCTTGGTTTCCTCATCTGAAATGCAGCTAATAAGCATACTTACTGTATCAGGATGGTATCGAGTTTGTGAGTAAGCAAAAGCCCAAAATATTAGTGACTAAACAATAAAGAAGTTTATTTCTTCTCATGTACAAATTTGGAGGTAGATAGTCCAAAATTAGTGTGGTGGCTCTCTTCCATTAATTCCTCAGGAATAGGCCCAAGCTCCAGCTCACCAAGAAAGTCTTTTTCTTCCTCACGGTCCAAGACAGCAGCCATCACATTTGCTCTCCAGATAACAGAGTAAAAGAAAAGAAGAAGAGAAGGACAAAAATATTCCCAAAATGTTTTAGGAAAGTTCCTGGGAGCCATCATGTGACCCTTCTGCTTGCATTCTGTCCACCAAAATGGAGTTGTGTGTCCATGTCCACCTTTAAGAGAGGATAGGAAATAGTGGCTTTGTTCTGGATGACCACATCCATGACCAAAAGTTATATGACTGTGAGAGAAAGTTATATCCCTGGGAGGCAGTGTAGTGTGTACCTCACCCACTCAGAGAGCTGTGGTGGGAGTGAAATGAGCTGATGTCCAGAATCCTTTCAGGATACCTGGTAGGGCTCAATGAATGGTCAGTTCTACCATCATTGTACTGTTTGGGGAAAGAGGAGGGTCTCAATGAAAGGGCTTGAGGCTTTCCTCTGCACTACAAGGGGCCCTCTTAGGATGTGGAAGGACAGTGCTGGGTCTTTAAGCCACAGGTCAGAAACCAGGGCCCTCTCCTTTAACCCCTGGCACTTTCTCCCTCCCTCCCTGCAGGAGCAGATCTGGTGATTAATGAAGTGATGTGGTGGGACCATGGAGTATATTATTGCACCATTGAGGCTCCCGGGGACACATCAGGAGACCCAGATAAGGAGGTGAAGCTCATTGTCCTGCGTAAGTGCTGCTGGAGCTTTCTCTTTAGCCACCCCATCACTGTGATACTTTTACACACAGAAAAACAACACAACACAACACAACAACAACAACAACAGAAGCAAGCAAGCCCAGGTTATTGCTGGATTGCCAACCTCTGAAGGTCCCTTACCAAAGCTAAACTTTTTTTTTTTGCCACTATATTGATTAAACGTAACCTATAGATCAAGAGCTGTATTTATTAGACCTCTAGGAGGTTAGACCTGGAAGCATTCTGCCGGCATGTTTCGTTAGCTTGCTCTTGGTGTCTCCGCTGCAGACTGGCTGACAGTGATCTTCATCATTCTGGGAGCCCTCCTCCTGGTCCTGCTGATCGGGGTGTGCTGGTGCCAGAGCTGTCCTCAGCATTGCTGCTGCTACATCCGCTGCCCCTGCTGCCCTGCCCGCTGCTGCTGCCCTGAGGAAGGTGAGAGCGGACGGACGAGCAGTGGGCGGGGTGCCGCTGCAGACTTGGACGAGCAGTGGGAGGGGGTGATGCTGCAGACTGCTGTCCCAAGTAGACCAGCTTCACACACCAGGTCAACACCTTGGGTCCTTCCAGTGTCTCCTCTGTGCCCTTCTCCCATCACAGGCTCACCCAGAAAATGATGCTCCAGGAAGTTGTAGACCCAAGGGGGAAGACTTCTGCCTGTCTACATCCTAGCCTGCTTAAGGCCTCCTTCCAGTGGTTCTGCCTACTGATGGCATTTCCTCAGTGGCCTGTGCTTCAGTATTTGCTGAGCACTCGCCTTCCTCCGACATGGAGTGGCTGGAGTGGGTGGTTTGAATGTAGCAGTGAGAGAGGAAGCCACCCCTTGGAGATGACTTGAAAAGAACAGATAGAGGAGAGAGTTTTTAAAGCAGTGGTTCTTAAACTGAAGAATCACCTAGGGCTTGTTAAAACTCAGTTGCTGGCTCCACCTCCAGAGTTTCTGATTTAATTGGTTTTCGGTAGGCCTGAGAATTTGTATGCCCAAAAAGTTCTCAAGTGATGTGATGCTGCTGATCTGTGGGCCACAATTTGAGAACCTCTTTTTAGATGAAGGAAGAAGGTTTCATGAAGGAGAGAGAGAGCAGAAGACCTTGCTTTTAATGTGATCTTTCTTCTGGCTGAAATTTGACCTTTTAAAACAGAATTATGACATGTCCTAAAAAATTTGGCTGTGGAATGCCAATCTTTTTTGTAGAAAATTATTCTAAAAAAATCTTTTCTTAATAAATAGATGGAGTGGGATCAACAGCTTTAAATGGAGTTTTGTGTTCTTTTTTTTTTTAAGATTTTATTTATTTATTTGACAGAAAGAGAGATAGTGAGAGAGGGAATACAAGGAGGGGGAGTGGGAGAGGGAGAAGCAAACTTCCTGCGGAGCAGGAGCCCGATGTGGGGCTGGATCCCACGACCCTGGGATCATGACCTGAGCTGCAGGCAGACACTTAATGACTGAGCCACCCAGGCACCCCAGGAGTTTTGTGTTCTTAAAATAACATTTTTCCCTGATGATATAAGTAACGTATTACATTGTAGAAAATTTGAGAAATTCAGGAAAATATAAAGACTAATCTGAGCACTCAGAGATAATCACTGTTATCATTCTTATCAGTTTGGATCATTTGAACAGAAATTTTTTAAAAGAAAAGATAAGGAATTACCTCTTAAAATAGAAACAAAACCTAATCTACAATGTCAAGAAGGTCAATGTCCTGCATCTGGTTTCAGGCCTGTGTTTCGGGGTTGTTGTCTTACAGGAAAAGAGAACTAACTTTTATTGGAAGTCTGCCATGCGTAGGCCCTTTGCATGTATTTCCCTGTATGAATCCTCACAACCCTAGAAGGCTATATCATCACTACTTAACAGATGAGGGGACTGAAGGTCAGAGTGGTCACAGCTAGTAAGTGGCATTGACAGTATGGTATTGAATCCAGGTTCATTTGACTTATGAGTGCCTGAATTTCACACAGTAGAGGCTGCCACAGCCTCTATGTGGAGATCACAGTGGGCTTGGCAGAGGTACAATGACCTCCTTAAAGAGAGGAAAAATAGCAGAGAACTCCATATTGGGCTGTGGATCTCCTTACCTTTCAAGAGCCTCTGGGAGAGATGCCGTGGAGAAGTCACTGTCACCGGAGTAGTAATATGCAAGAAGAGATGAGAAAAATCACTCCCAAGATGGCTTCTTAGAATCCCTAGGTCCGTGGGGCACGAAAAACAGGCAGGCCTGGGGATGAGACCAACACAAATGATAAATGTAGCCACTGTTTCAGTAAGCTGATAAACAGATTCTTGGGGAGAGTGGTTTCTCCTAAGTGGTTAGAGTTCATTCAGAAGAACTGGTAACATAAAGAAATGCAGGCCACAAGTAAAGATCCCTAGACTGGAGCAAATGAGGTCACTTTCAGAGTGAGTTACTGTGGCTGACTGTCCTGAGAATTTTGATGACAAGAAGAGAGTACATGGAGGGGGCAGAAGTTGTTACGGAGAGCTCTTGAATGAGGAAAGGGGTGTGTGTGATTGTTGGTTAGAATAAGATAACCCCAAGCGTATTTGTAGGCAAAGAACCAAGGCCAGTAGGAAATGAGTAAAGTGAAGCCTTATGAAGTGAGATGATCACTGAGTAGATGCAACAGGAGTGACATCAGGTGTACGGAGGAAGGAGGACTACTTTTAGAAAGGAAAGGAAGGGCAGCCTGACATCTGGAGAGAGAAAATCATTCAAATGTGGGGGATGGTCCAAGTATAAGGCAGGAAGCTGAGGGAATCTCATACCAACCTGTCTCGATTTCAGCAAATCAAAAGTCTAGAGGCAGAAGGGAGCTTGAGAATGATGTCAGTGCTTCTTGACCTTCTCTGACCACAGCCCACCTCCCTAACTTGGTCCCACTTTCCAGTGAGTTACTAGAACCAGGGAGGAGAAAAATGAGAATGACAGCAAATTTTAGTAACCCTTGATAATTCACTTAGTACTGGTAAACGACCCACAGTGGAACTTAAAGATGAAGGTTCTTGAAGCTGAACACTAGATCGATTACTGGCCATCTTCCCCACAGAACCTCTAAGCATACCCTGTAGTAGGCCACAGGCCACACTGGGAATCTCTGATCTATGTCACTCACCTCCCCATCCCCCTCACAGCTGAGGGAAGTAAGGCCTAGAAAGACTTCAGCACAGTCACACACAGCTTGTTGGTGGCAAATCCTGGACTAGACATAGGTCTCTTGATTCCATGCCCGGGGCTGGTTTCTCTTCCTCAACCAAGATGATGTCATCAGCCGAGAGTTCACGGGGAGGGGAAGACATGAGAAATGGGGAATGTTTAAACTGTTCTAGAGGAGGGAAGTGGGCTCGATAGATCAGTCAAGGGAAGCCATGTTGGGGAGCGCTATTTGAGTGAGGTCAGTTGCCTGGCTGTGCAGTCAGCACTAGCAGCACGGGGCCAGAAGCAAAAGCCAAAATAGTAAGAGTTCAAGGGCACGGGATTCTAGGAAGTTCCAAAGGATGTCACTGAAATGACTAGCCAGTCAAGTTAGAGGGAACTGGTAGTATGGGAAAAGGTGAAAGGACTGTGTGACGATGGGTCGAAAGAGGGTAGAGGATGAGCTCTGTAAGAGTGGAGAGGGGCTGGTGAGGGATGGGAAGCAGTTACAGGCAAGTTTCAGGCACCACGGGTGATGCTGGCTGCAGGGAAGGAGAGGCCCGGGGCTCTGGAGGAGGGGGAGGTGCTGTGCCATTCCTGTCACGGGAGAGACGTCTTAAAGAATATGCCCTGGGTTTTCCTCGGAAATGAAGATAAATAGGCCTTTGGTGGTCTAGTCTCCAAATGTGTACTTTTGTTTCCTATGGGATCTAAGGCAAAAGAAGGGACTTAATTACAATAATTTATTATGACAGTCTCTTGATTGTCATCTATTAGGCATGGCACGTGTACTATTGCTTCATTTAACCTCACAAGTTTATGAAATAGGTATTTCTGTCCTTAGCTCACAGAGGAGGAGCCTGGGCCCAGAGGCCCTGGAAATTCGCTCATTCATGCTGAAGTCCATCTGACCCTCAAAGCTCGTATTTAAGGAAACTTAACCCTGAGGACCATAGTTCTCAAAAGGTTGTTGAGAATCCTCAATAGTCAACTCCAGTTGGGCGTCCTGCACTCGTATTAAGGAGCTTGTCAAAAACACAATTTGCACTTGCTTTGCACTAGACCGAAGGACAGTATCTGAGAGTGGGATCCAGGAATCTGTATTTTTAAGTAGCTCCTTAACATGATCAAGGCAGACTTTACTCCACTGAGGTTCAGAGATAGCTTATTAGGAGTCTTTTGAGGCTTAGCTACTTTCTCCATGTCTCTTCTTTTATTGCCTGATTCCCTACTAGGTGAACAGCAGAAAACCCTGACATCCCCATGGAACGAGAGGGCCAGGGAGAAGCTCAGAGGCTATGTTTTCCACGCCCATCTCAACAGTTCCATTACATCAGGGAAAGGCGGGGCCCTGGGGAAAAGGGTGTGGCAACTAAGAAGAGAGCAGGTGGGTTAATCTCTGGAGTATGGAAAATTTGACAGGAAAGCTAATAGAAGCTCTGGAAGGGTCTCTAGGGAGTTATCTGTGCAGAGGGTCTCGTTTGTTAAAAAAAAAAGTCGTTTGGGGGACAAGGAGTAAGCCCAACTTTCCCTTTGTCTACTATGGAATTGGGGGAGTAGGGGAAGGAAGTGGCCAGGATTCAGTTAGAGGGGTGGGGAGCAAGTAGGGTTGTTCCCAGTGGAGTCAGATGCCCCAGGCCTTAGAGGCAGAGACTAGTCTGGAGTGGGTTTTGAAGTGTGGAGCCAAGTTGGAAAAAAATAAAGCAAGAAGTTACCACTGTGGAAGGTGTGTTTTGTTTTGTTTTGTTTTGCTTTGCTTTGCTTCATCACAGAAATATAGGAGAGCCTGGGGACTCAGTGATTTGGCGGAAAGAGCACAGGCTTGGGCATCAGAGAGGAACCTCTGTCCATCACCAGCTATGGGACCTTGAACTGGGAAGCCAACCTCTGTGCACCCAGCTTCTTCACCTAATTCCCACATCAAGAGATGGCTCTGAGGATTAGTTAGCTTAGGTAAAGTGACTGACACATGCGAAGTAAGCAGGGCATTATGTGTGCGGATGGTGGCACATGAAGGGAGCTGGGAAGGCATCGGTTAGCAAGAGGGCGAGGAAGGCGCTGAGCACACGGAGGGTCTGGAGTGCTGGCCACCTGAAGGTGTGGCAGCTGGGTGAGCTGCTCTAAGTTCGCATCTGCTTTCCTCCAGGCGAGGCCGTGATGCCCTGTCAGGGCTGCAGCTCCAGACATTTCTGAGGGCTCAGCTGCAACCACTTGTGCTAAAGTGTGTTTCACACCAGAGCCACCGGGTCCAGATGGCCACTCAGCTGTTGGCCTCAGCAAATCCCCGACCCTTTGCAGTAGGGGCCAGAATACCTGTCTTTTGTCCTCTTATTGCGCCAGGAAGAAGCCTCAGAGAGGCAGAGCCCTGCTGCTATAGAGGTGGCCACAGGGCTTGAGGAACGCAGGAGGAGGTGAAAGTGTCAAGCCAGGGGCTGAGGCAGGCACTTCCTGCCCTGAAACATGCAAGTACATTTCCTGCATGCATGGATAGACAGAGACCTTGGGAGACAGTTACCTCAAAACAGAAATTCACGAACAAAACCAACAAATGCTTTTGTTTTTAATTTGCACTCACAGGGGAGGAGGGGAGAGGACTGTGTGCTTCACACTAGCTGCTCCTGGGGTACCGCAGTGACACGTCTATGGGTTCCTTGTGCTGCTTTTTTACATGATTTTCTTTGTCCTGAAAGGAGATGGTATTTCCTTTCTCCCTTCTCTGCCTTCGCCGCACCCTTTAGAGATTCCCCCTACTTAGGGAAAATCCCAAAACTTATTGAGACAAGAAGAGTTGAAAGGATCTACTTGTGATCTACTTCAGCTTTTTACATCTCTTGCCTCCCTCTCACTAGTTCCTCCCCGCAAGGGCTGGTGGTTCTTCCGTCTCCTTCCCTTTACCATAGTTCTGCCCATTGACCTCAGCACCTACATCCTTTTTTGTTTGTTTTCCTTTTCTACTCTGAGCAGGGAGCCCTGAGCTTCTCTGGCAGCCCCCTCCAAGTCCTTTGCATCTGCATCTTCTATATTTGGCCTGTGGCTGAAGGCCTTGTTGGCCTGGGACCTGAGATTTCATGGCCTACTAATATATCCATGTATCTACCTACATCTTAGGTGAACCTGGGAATGGGAGGATGATGCAATGTTTTCAAGGCTGGGAAGGCAGGTATTATAGGTATACTTTCCTGGCGTACATTCCCAGCTCCTTGCCAGATGACCGATGGGTTACTGCCCCTCTAACTCTGACTTCTATGCAAGATAGATTAGAAACTGGCCTCTTAGCAAGGCTGCTGGGTAGAGAGAAGTGAAGTGGGGGGTGGGGGGCTTGTCCTGGCTGAGGGTCTGCATTTCTCCTTTTTCCCCTGCAGCCCTGGCCCGCCACCGCTACCTGAAGCAGGCTCGGGCCTTAGGCCCTCAGATGATGGAAAAACCCCTATACTGGGGGGCGGACAGGAGCTCCCAGGTTTCATCTTATCCAATGAACCCGCTGCTGCAGCGAGGTAAACCTTGCCAGAGATTTGGGGTGGGAGAGGGCAGAGGGCAGGGGTAGGTGCAAGGGCTATATCGGGGCCTTAGTGGCCAATATAGTGGGTATCTGTGATTGAGGATGGGGACGGGATGGATGCAAGCTGATTAATGTGGCATTTTGGTGCCCTGGTTCTGAGGAGCATGTTTTGGGCCAGCAGTTCTGCATGTTCTGATCCTTGTTTCTTTTCAGATTTGTCCCTGCGATCCAGCCTCCCACAGATGCCAATGACCCAGACCGCTGCTCACCCTCCCATCGCCAATGGTGTCTTAGAGTATTTGGAGAAAGAGCTGCGGAACCTCAATCCAGCCCAGCCTCTGCCCCCTGACCTTAAAGCCATATCTGGCCAAGCCTGCAGCATGCTGTCCTCCCTGGGCTCTGAGGTTGTGGAGCGCAGAATCATCCACCTGCCCCCACTGATCAGAGACCTGCCATCCTCACGGAGGACCGGCAACTCCTCCCGCCAGGAGTGGCTCACCCCAATTCCCCCCGGACCCTGGGATCCGAGGGAGAGGAGAAGGCAGGCCCACTACTCTGATTTCCACCAGGAGCTTCAGGACTGGGAGCCTAACCGCTGGGCATTGGAGGGACGGGAGCTGAACCGACTTCAGAGGGGAAGGCACCACCGCTCCCGGCTGCACGGGTCACCCGCGCCCTGGTCAGACAGGGACAGCCTCAGTGACGGCCCCTCATCAAGCGAGGCCCGCTGGCGGCCCGACCACCCACCTCTCCGGAGCCGCTCTCCAGACCGACCCCGCAGGCCCAGTCCCCGGGAGAATGCCCAGAGGCACCCGAGGCGCAGGCACCGCAGCTATTCCCCTCCCTTGCCTTCTGGCCTCAGTTCCTGGAGCTCTGAGGAAGATGAGAAGGAGAGGCGTCCCCAGAGCTGGGGAACCCACCGCCGCCGCAGCTCATACTCCTCAAACTGGCCTGAGGAGAAGCCACCCAGCTACCGGTCACTGGATGTCATGCCAGGCAAGAATGGCAGGAAAAAAGGGAGTGTGGAGAGGCGCTCGGTGAGCCTGGGGCATCCTGCTGAGGGTCGGGTGTGGGCAGAGCGGGGGGTTGGCCCCAGCTGACACAGGCCACCCCACGTGCCACCGATGAGGGTATCTCCTCCTTGAGCTTGCCTGGTGGGCATGGTGAGACCCCTTGTCAGGGCTAAAAGGGGCCCAGTGTGTGCAGAGGGTGGAGGAGGGCTCAATACTTGATGCTTAAAGAAGGGCCTTCTCATCCCAGACCAGCCCTCCTCATCCCAGACCAGCCCTCCTCACAGTCTCGTGAGGCAGGGTTCCCCCATTTCACAGATGAAGGAACGAGGCTCAGAATAATTCAGCGCCTGTGCGCAGTGGAGCTAAGACTTAAATGCAGGTTTCGTGGCTAAGGCTTTACTTCCTGTCATAGCTGCCTGCCTTTATTTAGTGAACCTATTTCCATACCCCAAATTAGACCGTACAGCCTGACAGAGGACTTTTGTGCCACTTTTGGGGGCTGCAAGTCAGTGTGCAAGGCCTTGTATTCGAGGATGAGGTACTGTGAGACCCCCAGAAAGAATCCTTAAACTGATTAAAAACAAAACAAAACAAAACAAAAAACCTCATATCTCAAATATGGGTCAAAACTTTGGGGTTCTGAAACAGGCAAGGGGTTAATGGGTGCCAGTCATAGCTTACTAGCCTAAAAGGGGCACAAAGAGGGATTATAGGCCTTTTAGGCCTTAAATTTTTTTTAAAGATGTGACTTAAAAAACCATTTTATAATTGATATACTGAAACAATGGTATTCCCTTATGTCACTTTGCAAAGTTATGCTGCCATCAGTCACAAATATTCATGAACTGCCTTCAGAGCCAACTTAAATGAAAATCTGTTTCTCTATTTGACCAAAGTCCTTTTCTGTTTTGCTTCCTTTGAGATAAAGGGATATGTAGTAGGCTCTGAGGGAAGTTCCCAGAGTAGAGAATATTGTAGGAAGAATTTTAGTCTCCCATATACTTCCAAGGATATTTGAAAATGCAAGTTCTGCTGTGTTTGGTTTAAAAACTAATCACAGGCATGGAGTATGCAAAGAAACAGGCACCTTATGGGAACTATAGTGCTAACCTTTCTAGAATAGAGCCTTGGTGAGAGAGTAATTCATGAGGAAGGTAGCAAAGGCCTGCAGGCAGTTCTAAAATAATGGCCTTCCTCAATAGATGTCCCAGGAGAGAGGCAAAAACCAGCAACAACGAAACTTAGTAGTATTCTTACTAAATAAATGGTACCTAACTATGGACATTGATGCCATATCCCATTTAACTCTCACAACACCTATGAGGTTTGTACTGTTATCTTCATTTTATAGTGGATCCAACTCTTTCTTCTATATTACCAATAAGAAAATTGCATCCTGAAAGAACACCTGGAACCAGTTAAAGCCAGGACAACTGCTGCTACTTTAGTCAGAGAGGGACTAAACTGTCTCTTATCTTCATTTTAACAGAGAAGAATGTTATTTGAAGGACAGTTTTGGGCCCCAAATCCAAACCCTATCTTCTTTGAAGTTTTTCTTCATTTTCTTCTCTTTAAGTGAAATTATGTGGTTTCTTGTAAGTGAGAAGAGGGTAAAAGGAACACCAGTTATGTTCCAGACATTGGGGTAAGCCTTTTCCAAACCTTATTTATTTAATCTTTGCAACAACAGGTGAGGCTCAGTGAGATCGGGTATCATGCTCGAAGTCACAAAGCCAATAGGCAGTGAAGCCAGAATTTCAGCATGGATAGCCCTCTGACTCTCAAGCCTTTACCCTTTCAGCAACTTCATGCTGCCTCATTTGAAAGAAATAAGAATCATTTGGGGCAATGATGTTTTCCTGCTATATTTCTTCCTGGTAACTTTATTTCTTTCTCATTTTCTGAAAGTATCACAGCTTCCTTTATCATTAAGATGTACACACCACTAATTCTACCACAAGCAAACCAAATTTTCTATTGTAAAGTTGCTCATGAGACGCAAAGATTTCACTCAAGATAATTTTGAAAGCCTTCATTGTTTTGGATTTCTCTAAGCTTATCTCCCAAAGAGTTATCACTTTATTACATTCCACTGTCTACTCATATTCTGAGTGACTACAGACCCAGGGCCATGGCTGGCTTTAGATTGGTTGGTTTGAAGGGCACCGTGTTTTTTGTTTATAGTTTGAATTTTGAATGCCTCCAGTGAAGCAAAAGTCTCCAGGGCCAAAATCTTACTTTTTGCTGCTCTCCTCGGTGGGACTGGACACTTTCCACACACTTTCCTAACCTCTGAAGTTTTCAGAACTTGCAGTTAACTTCAGAACTTATAATACAATTGGGCCACTAGATGGCAATCCTTGATTATGTATAACAAAGTTTCTCTTTGCTCCTTGAGTTAATAAATGTTATCACTATTTTCTTAAATCAAGCTTTCAGCAGTTACAGCTTTGCCATAACTTTTATGAAATACTTATTAAAAATACTTTATTAAATATTCAGAGCAGTATGCATTAATCAAAAAACCTTTTGGCTTACACGGAACCTTCTCTGTGAAGAAGAATGTTTAACAAATAGATACCGAGGAACAAGGGCTTCCATCCAAAATAGGTAAGAACTGTTCTCTGCAGAGTGCCCACGAGAAAATGGGACTTATGCTGAGGAATCTCCCACTTGACTACAGAATCAGGATTCCAGCAGAGATCTGACCTCAAGTCTGGTGTTTTTTTCATTCTATCAAAGGCTGCAACCTCACAAATATAAGAAACTGTAATATCAAGTTTTAAACTCCTATAGTTTCAGACTGGGTTGCCCCTGTGTTCCTGGCCTCCTTCAGATGGATTATCTTTCTTTCCAATCTTGCCCTACAAGAAAGAGCTTCCCAAGACATTTCTGGTTTGTTGCACAGTTGGCCTATACCCACCTGTTCTAATACAAGAGAAAACTACTGCATTCCTTCTTCTCCAAGTTAAACTCAAACTTTCGGTAGAGAATCCAAGATTTTTCATTTTTCTTGACTTGATTTAATAAATTTTTTTTTTTGCTCAGTATACTTAATCTTCTACTTTTAATACAATGCCTATTCCTTGATCATGTCTAGGTTTTCCTTCAGCAAGCCCTGCATAAGTTCCTTTTGTCCCCTTTCGTTCCCTTCCTTTGTATCAGAGAATATTCATCCCATAGCATTTTGATTAGAAGCCATGCCCCCTAAAACTCACTTTCCTGATAAACACATTTTTTTATAGTAACATGAATGTATATACATATACAATGCATTTAACTATGTTTGGGACAGGTACCTTGTTTTGCCATTTCAAATAGGATAAGAAAGGTCACTTTCATGGACTACAGCTATAGATATTGAAAACTTAGAAATGATCCCCTACGATACATAGTTAGAGAAATATGAGAAATGTAGACAGTCCTTGCCCTGACAGAACAAGTTGAAAAAGCCGAAAGATCAAGTGTACTAACTTCTGAAGAAAAGGCATGAGTTTGGTCAGAAAGAGATAATGATCTTTGAAAAATAACTTGAGAGAAATACTAAGGTATGAAGCTCAACTTTTTAGAAAAGGGCTGAGAAGGAATGGTTCAGGACACTATGAATAGGAAAAGAAGAACTGGGCCATGTCTTCATGAACAAATGGTAGGGAGGTGGGCTGATGAATGGACAGGGTACTTTTTTTCAGTCTAAGGGAGACTTGAAGGTGTTAAAATCAGCAGGAGGCAAAGTGAATGAGACTGTAAGAAATTTTCAAACATTAAAGGTATTTGAGGGAGGCTCTATATGAAAGAAGAGAAGCCTAAGCCTGGGGAAGAGACTGGCTTCATGAGGAGTCAAGAAGTATTTTTTAGATTCAGTTATGCTGCCCCAGCATCCACCACTCACCTAGGATTTGCACCCAAATTAAGTGCACCCTGTATGTTGTATGCATGGAAAATAGATTCCAGCTGACCAGATTCTTTTGTGTTCTATCCCCCAGGAGAGAGGCAGCTCCCATAGTGGAAGGAGTGTGGTCATTTAGCCACCGGGTACAGCACTACTTCTTTGGCTACTTCTCAGCTCCCTTGCATCATCAGCATCTCCCAGATTTCCAGCTGACTTGGGAGGGACACTGCAAGTCCCTATCTTATAGTTTTGGCTTAGATTCTGAGAACAAAATAGAAAAATACTAAAAACAAGAGTTGGAGGACTTAATGACTGTCGTGTTAGCCTTGGCTCACACTCTGCACATTTAGAGTGTCTGACTTGTCATGGACCCTAACTGGTATGTGATCTCTCAGGAACTTAGTAGCCTGAGTCTTCAACTAGGTGACAGAGCTCAGAACTATGGCCATTCTCAAAGTGAGAATTCAGGAATCTTTAAGAAGAAATCAAACATGCTTCAGGTGCAGGAAATTTATTGAATATGGAAATTTCCATGGGAACTTGTCTCTATCTCTATAGCATATCTCCATTTTAGGAGTCCACCTTGCTGCACCCATTCCCAGTCCTGAGTGCTGGAATGATCCAGCTTGACCCGAGGGTCAAGTCAGAGATGGCACAGCGATGTACTCTCTTCTCATGGGTTATTTATGTAAGTGTAGAAAATCACTAAGAAGCAGTTTTGCACCAAACTTATGCCTGTCCCTTGTTTTCTTCTTGCTTTTTTTTTTTTTGCCTACATCTAATTTATATATCCTAATATATTATGTATCCATTAAAATCACTTTAAATGCTTCTTGAGAACAACACAGTATGTAAATAAATTTGAAAGGAAATGTACTGGCTTAAGGATTCTGTCCCAAATAAATATTTACTTTGGTGCACTTGACTGAACTGAGTTTTCTTCCCTACTAAAGCTCAGAGAAGAGCCAGGCAAACTTGGATAGTTTGGAGTCACCTTTCTCCTGGCACCACTCAGCCTTGCAGAGTTGAGATTTCCCAAGCAGAAGCATCCAGGTAGGTTTGGCCACTCAGAGAACACCAGGAGGAGAGGGCTATGCCCTCTCTACAGTAAGCTCTACCACTCCCTCCCATTTTCCCCAGTCCCTTTGGTGGTTTCATGAATCCATTTTTGCTTGATGTAGAGATGCTTCTTGAGCAGATTGTTAGGAGATGGTCTGAAAGGAGGGGTGTGTGTGTGTTCCTCAACAGTATCTTTATGTATATGGCCTTAAGCTCAATTTAGATCCTGTTGTGTTGACACTCATTTTTCCCCCCAGCCTCATTAATTACATCTGGAGAAAATAGGTTAAATGTGTGCATCAGGCAAAGATTTCTTTCAGATTTTTGATGTCTATAATGTAACTGGGTCTAAAATAGCAAAACAGAAACAAAAATAAAAAAATTTAACAGATAAAGAAGACATAAAATTGAGTAGGTGAGGGTCTTCTGGTCTGGACAAGATGGTATAGACCTTTTCCTTGCTCCTCCCCACTAAGCATAACTTTATAAACCCTGGAAATGGCACAAGAAACAGGCAAAGGAGAACTCTAAAGAATGCTAAGCAGAAGGCAAGGTAGTTTGGGAACTCAGGACATGAGGAATAACACAGAGGCAGGGTGTCTTGAATCCCCCAACCCAAAAAAAAAGAGCCACCCAGAGCTGGCATTTTCCAACTTCCCACCTAGCAAGAGAAGGTAGTAGCTCATTCTTCCCTCTGGATTTAGTGGGAGTCCCTCTGACAACCTCAGGCAATGGGGACCGTCTAGGAGCCCTGCCAAAAATAAGTGACCAGGGGGAAGTACGCTCCTTCCCTGCTGGGCCAGAGACTCTTCCATAGAGAGATACTGTGGTGAGTAAGGAGAATCAGTAAGAGAGACTCAGGTAAAGCAAGTAACCCAGCTGAGAAAGCTCTTTGTTCCCAAGGGCCAGAGACTCTCCTCCCCTGCCCAGAGATAGTAGGTCTGACTATGGAAACAGGAAAAAGGAAAAAGGACCTGTCACAGCTAGCAGCCTAGGCCTGAAAGCCACTTTGTCTCCATGAAACTGATGCTCTCCTCCCTGGTCCAGATTAACTAGGGTAGCAGGGGAACACCAAGAGAAAGATTTCTACACACCCCTCCCTCACCAAGTGATATCTGGCAACCTAGTCAGAGGAAATTCCTTCTGACCCCTCAGGCAGCACTGACAGAGACCAGAGTGAGCCCCACCAGCACCAAATACACCAAGTAGACCAGCATAACATCACAAACGTTCTAAAAATTAAACTACCATTGGAATCATGGCCTGCAAAAGTAGGCTAAAACTTGTATGTTGAACCTAGCAGAGTAACTTCCTGTAAAATAAAATATTAAAATAGGACCCAGAGTATCCTAACAGACAAAATGACCAGGATACAAACCAAGAACCAAGAAAAGCACAACTTGAATGAAAAATGAAATCACCTGATGCCAACCTGATATGAGTCAGATGTTGGAATTGACTGATAAGAATTTGAAGGCAGACATTATAAAAATACTGCAACAATCATTACAAATTCTCTTAAAAAATAGAAAATCTCAAAAAAGAAATAGAAGTTATACAAAAAAGAAAAGGAAATTATAAAACTGAAAAATACAACAGAAATTAAAAACTCACCAGATGGGCTCAACAGTAGAGTGGAAATGGGAGGATAGAATCAGTGAACATGAGGACAGAACAAGAGAATTCACTCAATTTGAACAATAGAAAATAAACTGGAAAAAATGAACAGAGTCTCAGGGACCTGTGAGGCTATAACAAAATATCTAATATCATCAGAGTCCCAGAAAGTAGAGGAGAAAATTAGGGATGAATGAGTATTTGAAGAAATAATGGCTGGGAACCGCCCGTATTTGATGAAAGACACAAACCTAGAGATTGAATGAACCTAGAAGTTGAATGAACCCAAACAGGATAAACCTAAAGGATCCATGCCAAGATACATCATAATTAAACTTCTAAAAAAGGACAAAAACTCCTGAAAGCAGCCAGAGAAAACAAAGCATTCTCTGCAAGGAAACACTAATTTAAGTGGATTTCTTATGTAGAACCATGAAGAAGGAAATGACAAAATGTTTTTTAAGTGCTGAAAGAAAAGAACTGTTAACCGTAATTATCAGGAAAAGCTATTTTTTAGAAATGAAGGGAAAATAAAAACATTCATAGATGAGTGAAAGTTAAGATTCTGTGACTAGCAGACCTATCCTGGAAAGACTGAAGTTCTTCAAACAAAGGAAATGACCAAAGGAAACTTACAGCATTGGGAATCAAGAAGAAACAATAGAACGAAATATGAGTCTATACAATAGACAGTTCATTTCCTTATGAGTTTTATAAATCATATTGACTATTGAAACAAAAATTATAATACTAATACTAAAACTATGATATTTAAAGGTGGGAAAGGTAAAGAGACCTAAATGGAAGTGAAGTTTCTATTTTTCATCTAAAGTGATAAATGTAAATACCAGTACATTGTTAGAAGTAGCACCCACAGCAACCACTATGAAAATTATACAGAGAGACAAACTCAAAAGTATTACTCAGCCATCCAGAAAGGATGAATACCTACCATTTGCATCAACATGGATGGAACTGGAGGGGATTATGCTAAGTGAAATAAGCAGAGAAAGACAATTATCATATGGTTTCAATCATATGTGGAATATAAGAAACAGTGCAGAGGATCATAAGGGAAGGGAGGGAAAACCGAATGGGAAGAAACAAGAGAGGGAGACAAACCATGAGAGACTCTGGACTCCAGGAACCAAACAGAGGGTTACAGAAGGGAGGGGGGGGGGGGGGATGGGGTAACTGGATGACGGGTATTAAGGAGGGCACGTGTTGTGACGAGCACTGGGTTTTATACGCAACTAATGAATTGTTGAACACTACATCAAAAACTAATGATGTACTATATGTTGGCTAACTAAACATAACAATAAAAAATAAATAAAAGTTTCTAAAAAAAGTTATAAATAAATCAAGATGGAATAACTTGATGCCCATGGATCAAACCGATTTTGAACTGCCCAACAGTTACAACTTTCTGTTCTAGATAATTCAGATTCTCGTGAAAGTCTCCTCTTACAATATGAATATCACAGGCCAGAATCTTGAGATAGTCATAACTGTCTTTGGTGCAAAGGTTTCCAGTACAGAGAGTGTGCTGAATCTTTCCTGGCACCAGGAGTTTTTTTAGCTGGCAAACTCACATGGGATATGTGGGTCTCCTAATACCAACACCAACATCCTGTCCGTGGGCTCTGCTCAATTCACCACAAGCGCTGCCACCTCAAGAAATCGGATTTTCAATTAAGAGCTCTCTGAAATGAAATCTCCAGACCCAGATAGTCTCACTGGAGAATTGTAGCACAACTTTAGAGGTATAATTAACACTAACTTTACACAATCCTTTCCAGAAGAGGAGGAAATACTCCCCGTTCATTTAAGAAGGACAGTGCAAAGCCATCGCAAAAGTCGTTACAAAAAAAAAAAAAGAAAACTACGAACAAACATCCCTCCTGAACTTAGATGCAAAAATCCTTAACAGAATATTACCAAATATCTTAATACATAAAAATAATTATACACCATGAACAAGTGGGAGTTGGTCCAGATACGTAATCCTGGTTCCCAGCAGAGTAAAAACAATCTTGGAAGACAAAATTGGAGGACTTATACCTTCCAATTTTAAAATGTACTATAAAGCTATAGTAGTTAAGAGAGTGTGGTACTGACATACTGATCAGTGGAACAGAATTGAGAGTCCAGAAATAAATCTTTACATTTATGGTAAATTGATTTTTTTACTTTTTACAAAGCTGTTTAGGCAACAGTGAGGGAAGGATTGTCTTTTCTACAAATGGTGCTAGGTCATTTGGATAGCTACATTTAAAAAGATGGACTTAGACCCTTCATACATATGCAAATAATTAATTCAAAATGGATAACAGTCTAAATGTAAGAGTTAAAACTGTAAAACATTTAGAGAAAAAGATAGAAGAAAACCTTTGTGTCCTTAGATCTGACACCAATAGCATAATCCTTAAAGGAAAAAAATTATAAATTGGACTTCATCAAAATTTAATTTTGACTTCAAAAGACACCATTAAGGAAATAGAAATACAAACCACAAACTTAGAGAATATACTCACAAATCCTTGATAAAAATATTTCTAACCATAATCTATAAAGAAATCGTACAACTCAGTAAGACAAACAAGATTTTTAAAAATAGACAAGATTTGAATAGAGATTTCACAAAGGAAAATATAAAGATGGCTAATGAACACATGAAAAGATGTTCTATATAATATTATTATCATTAGGAAAATACAAATTAAAACCACAATGAGACACCACTTCAAACCCACTAGAATGACGATAATAAAAGAGACAGACAATAGTAAGTGGTAGCATAGATGTGAAGAAATGGAAATCTTCGTAGTTGCTGATGGAAATGTGAAATGATGTGACTGCTTTGAAAGCCTTTTGGCAATTAAAAAATGTATATTAGACATAAATTTACCATACAACACAGAAATTCCACTTCTTGTTATTACCCAAGGGAAATTACATAAAAACATATATGAATGTTCATAGAAGTCTTATTTATGATAACAAAAAAAGTAGAAAAAACCCAGATTTCCATCAACTGGTGAACAGATGAACAAAATGTGGTATAGCCATACAATGGAATTCTATTCAGTAATAAAGAAAAGCAAAGCACTGATACATATTACAACATGTTTGAACTTCAAAAATATTATGCTAAGTGAA